TTCTTACCTCGGCCTCATCTTATTCCTCAGAACTAACGATCCTTCAACCTCTTGGGAAGAGGGATCACTGTACAGTCTCCTTTGCGTGGACACAACGCCTCAAAATCCACGATCAAGATGGACTGCTTGGATTTTCTGGCACCCCCACCAAACCAGATAAAGAAGGGTTGCAAGTAACATGGACTGGAGTATTACGCAAGCCTTGATGACGCATGGGAACACTTACGGCCTACGAGGATGCGGCTCATTACAATGTATTGTTAAAACTACCGGAGCAGGCCATCAACAAATGACCCCAGTGGATTGATAAAGCAAACGATCCGTAATGAAAAACGACGGAAACTATGGGACCATTTCAAGACCACAAGACTGACCAAGGTACTTAAGTTGAAAAGCTGTTGGAAACCCATGCACCATGAGAAAACGCGACAAAAGACTACAGTATAAACATGGGTTGGACCTAGAATCCAAACACTATCCCAAAAGTGTCTTGCCTACCTGAAGCGAAAGGAAAAGCTGGTGGTGGAATCCACGCTCTAGCCTCTTCTAAGGAAGGTACGGTCCTCTACGGCGATGCCGAAGATGTCAACCTACTGGCTACGCAGTATTCCTCAGTCTACTCAATGGAATCTCTCATGCTCAACGGCTGTTTGTCTTCACACTACTACTCTATTGACCGAGTTGAAATTACTCCTAGGTAGTCAATAGGCTACTCTTCTTACTGGACCACGAATCATCCCCATGCGCTGACGGATTGCATTCCAGCTTCCTTAACACGATAACTGAGGACATCGCTGCCCATCACCGCCAATAAGTTCGGCCATCAGTTGAAGTCGGCTGCCCACCCACAGGCTGGAAAAGAGATAACGTGCTGCCCAAATCCAATAAATAACTAAATAAATGCGTTATTTCCGGCAAAGCGAATCACGCCATGCACGCATGCTCAAAAATTACAAAGAGGTATAGGCGATTATAATAAAAAATATAGCAAGTAAACCAACAAGATACAAGGGGAACCAACAAGACCCAGCGAAAAGCCGGCCAATATGTCTGACGTCAGTCGTATTCAAAACCATGCCAGGGATAGGCCAGTGCGCTCTCCAGCTACACCGTGTGAACCTAGGCCTTATCGCACCCGCTCAACCTCACTTTCGGAGAGCACGCTCATGCAACGCTAACCTACTCAGCGCCAGGGAAACATGGGTAAAAGCCATAGAGGTCCAAATCAGTTTGGCCTAATATGCATTGACTTCATTAAAGCCTTTGCTTAGGTTCCCCACGTACGACGGCTACAAAGACTTCAGGGAATTGACAGCACAGGAAATATTCTCTCCTGTCTTGTAGATCTCCTAAGAGGTGGGACTATGCACATACAGGCGAAAGAAACACCTCGGCTCCTGTACCTATGACAAGTTTCGTTCCCCAAAGATCAGCGCTTGGACCATAGCTCTGCAAACTGTACGTTACCGCGTTGCCGACTGCACTTCGAACCGACTGCTTGAGCTACGCCGATAATCCTAAGCTATGGTCAACAGTATCCATCCTTGAGGTTACGGACAGATACCAAGAGGCTCTAGACCAGCTACACGGCTGGTCTATCAAGTAGAATTGCCAGTAAACCGAGATAAATGCGCTGTTCTCCCAATGGGTAGAACTAAACCGCACGGTTCGTAAAACCTTGGTGGGTTTCTACTCAGGAATGCCATTCACGAGAAGTCGGTAGTCGTCGTGACTTTTGACATTAGAACGACGCAAGACACCGTGCAGAAGGTGGCCACTGGAAGGAGACTGGTGGGTATTGTAGCAAGACCACTCGCTAGACTGACTCTTGACATTTCTCGGCATTTGTTCACATTGTACGTCTGTCCACTCTTAGAATATCACCTACCAGCTATCCATACGCATTCAAAGTTTGAATGCGCCTTGCTGGAAAAGGTTCAGAGATATGCATCAAAAGCAGTCCTGGGGCTCATGATCTCCCATTCACTTCCAGCAGCTAACTTGTTCCCCCTTAAGCTCTACCGTCGCCGAGGTGATCAAATCTACAGTAGGCAGATCATTCGAGGGGAACTTGAAAGTGAGTTCAGTTCAGTTCAGTTCAGATGGGGACTGGAACGATAGGAAAATCCCGTGAGTGTTCCATCTTGAGTGGATCGTTGAGCCAGGAATTGATGAAGTGCTCAGTTATTGATGGATCTAAAACGGAAACACCCGTATCGCACCCTGGCCAACCAGTTAATGCCCACGTTTCCTGCCCTAGCAGTCCCTGCTGTGGCAGTCACGTGAAGTAAGCAAAGGATAGGAAGAGAAATCGAAGGTACAGAATAGGGAAATGCACTTAAATAAGAAAATAATACCAATACGTGAAGAAAAGTAGAGAAAAGAAAATCGAAGTACGAAGATGCAAGTTACTCAGGAAAATGGAAAGGTTTCGTGTTGCCACCCAAGAGCGTCAAGTTGCCGCACAAACCCCTTACCCGTAGATTCCCTGATAACACTTTCCGGAAGCATGTTCCAGCGGTCGATGACTCGACGTGACAGCCGGATTTCCGCACTAATCCGATCGGACCGCGGTTTGTCCAGCTTCAACGAATGACCGCGTAGAACAGACAATCTAGCGGGACTGAATAGCCAAGATAAATCTGGACCAACCTTCCCAGTCAAGATACGGTAGGTTAGGATTAGGTCTCCTCTAAGCCTTCGGTAGTGCATTGAATGCATTCCCAAACTAAGTAGACGCTCGGGGTACGTCCGTCCCCGTAATCCCTCGACTAACCTAGTACCCACTCGTAAAACCCTCTCTAGCTCCATTTTGTCCCGGACGAGGCAGGGCGGACAAGCCTGGACGCAGTATTCCAGATGAGGCCGAACGAAAGCCGAGAACAGCCTCGTAAAGATGCCGCTCGTCAAGACTCCGAAAGAACGTCGGATTAACCACAACATGCGGAAACCTCTGCTTGCGGCCTTCTTCCAGTTGTCGCCGGAGTGTAAAGCCGAAGAGTGTACGACGCCTAGGTCAACCTGGCTAGATACACGGGGGAGTTCGACCCCACCGACCAAGTACTTCGCAGGAGGACAACCTCCTCCAATTCGAAGAACGGAGCACTTTGCCTGATTTATGGACAGTAACCATAAAGTAGACCAGTCCCAAAGCTTATCCAATGCTCGCTGAATAGCTTCGGAACCCCCAGGAACATCAACAATGTTCCACAGCTTCAGGTCATCAGCAAATAGCAGCGATGGTACCTCAAGCTCCGCGGGTAGGTCATTCACATAGATAGAGAACAACAGCGGTCCAAGGACCGAGCCCTGCGGCACGCCGCTGAGGACAGACTGCCTAAATGATAGGCCCCGACCTACCCGTACACACTGTTCTCTACCCTCCAAGAAGGCAGTCACCCAATGAAGGGCGCGGCCAGATACCCCGTAGGAGGACAGCTTTTGCGCGAGCCTCAAATGGGGTACCTTGTCAAATGCCTTCGAAAAGTCGACGAAAAGCACGTCCAGTGTGTGGCCGTTATCCACTGCATCCGCCCAATTTTCGCGAGCCACCAACAGATTCGTCAGACACGAAAATCCCTTCCGGAATCCGTGTTGTACATTACTAAGTAGATTAAATCTACTCAGATGACTTTCCAATGAATCTCTCACCAGTTTTTCGAGGAGTTTGACTACTACACTCGTCAGACTAACTGGCCTGTAATTTGCAGGCAGACCCCTGTCCCCATGTTTGAAGATGGGACAGATGACAGCTTCCTTCCATTCGGAAGGCAATGCACAACTGGCAAGCGATTTCTGAAACACAATAGCGAGCGGTCCACTTAGTTCCGCAGCCAACTCATGCAACAGTTTCGGGTGAATTAAATCAGGCCCAGAGGCCTTAGAAGGGTTCAGCCCTTGTAACAGCCTACGAACTGCAGTCTCCGCTACGATAAATTCAGATAGTTCTGAACCTTCTGGAATCCTGCAAACAAGCTCAACGCCGGTCAAAGAGGTTTCCCTTACAAACGCTGCTGCATATTGCCCACTGAGTACGCAGGGCCGGACGATGACTGTTCCACACAGCCACACATAGAAACGATTTTTGCAAAGAAGACAAAGAATTCGCATGGAAGTAACCATATCCACTGGAGTGTTATGCGCTTAGTACAGCCTGCCGGAAGAAATTGGAGACGTGCTAACAGAGGAAAGTTCCAAGCGTCTGCTAGACCAACATTCGCTGAGAATGCCGACATCTTGCGGATGTCACTGCAATTGCAATGAACCCAAGAGAAACATCGTACCGCGAAGACAGGCCTCAAACCAAGTATGACACCGAATCCATTTGGTTGACAAGCGTTTTCCCTCCTGTACTCTACAACATTGAAATCAGTGAACAACCGGCCTGGCATGGACTACTTGGCAGCAAATATAGGCAGTAATTGGTTGGGCGGGGTTGTTGTGGTCTTTGTTGTGGTATTTACAACATCTCAAGCTGACTAGCAAATCCCGGTTAAACGATCCTCAAAAGAAGGAACATTCACGGGTTTCTCCAACCTGTCCTGTCCCAACCAAACTTCAATTAGAGCAACTTTGCTGCAGTCCGCGTACACTGACGTCATCCTTCCGTAGCAAGTTGGCAACTTATTTGTTTTTGTTAGTGTTTTAGCAAAAGAATTTCTCGCATCATTTAAGTAAGGTAAATTTAGATTATGAATGAATCGCGCAAATGATAATAACCACACGCGACAACATTACGAGAGCGTCCGACTCACGAGACAAGTATGAGAGAAAAAGAGGTGCAGGTGCTTAAATGGATAATGACATATTCCAAACAAGGTAGTAAGTTAGTCATGATTATTCACTAGTTATTACAGTATACATCCGTATATACTTAAGTTTGCAACATACGGAGTCCATTCAGTAAGGTGGACAGGTTATAATTTGTCTCACTTATCCATGTGTATCCGAACTATCGTTAAGGCAATTTAATCTTCGTCTAATAATAAGACTGCCGCGACTGGTTAACAAATGCCCTAACCGTGACTCTCCAACATTTTAGAATTAAGGCTTTCTATAAGTGCTCCTGCCAAATATTGCTTGCTAATATCAGTTGTTTAAACTGACCTTTAAATGCAAAGATGCTCCTCGTTCAACTGCGTGTTTGATGGTGGGTTTTCGGCGTTTTCTGGTTAATGTAAACGCGAATTACGTTCATTTCTTCTGATCCTTTCGTTTTATGACCTATTTTTACTCTATGGGTCTTTTGAACCCGCTTAACTTTTGCACCAGTTCGCCTTATAAAATCCACTATTCGCGTTTATTTTCAACATATTACAGTTCCTTCGTTCTAACCAGGCGTGCAAGTTTTGCAGTTATATCGTATGAGCTTGAAGACGACGTCCCCTGACCATCGACTTCACAGGGGATGAGCTTTACTTCTGATGAGGTCAATTTTCTCATTTTCCGATATCTGCAGGAATCAGGTGAGGTTAATCCCTGTTTTCGACTTCTGTAGGCTATTGTCATTCTGCCTATTTGTTTGGCTTGGAAAGCCAGATCAGCCGCTCTAATATCGATGGTTCTATTATCCCTCCAGGCTCACTGTTGAGTCTCATTCAGAAGGGTCTTCAATATACCGAAGCCGAGCTCAGCATTGGCGAGGTAATTTACATTACAGTACAACTTACTTCTTTCAGGATGGTAGTGAACGCGTAGTAGAGTCGCTATCACTCATTGATGCCGTTGTTCCTGATGTTATTGAGCAGCGGAAAAACTCCCTAAGACAGCAGCAAAATTCAATTCCCGCGATAGTTGCTATAACTTGTTGTGGATGTGCACTTGTCGGCTGCAACAACAATGCTCCCCACGCCGGTGGAATTAATTCCCAAGCAGCCATTACGAACTCTAACCAAATGAGCACTACCCATTCCGCTCCAGATTCCGTGGTGCAGAACTGCATACACCACCTTCCTGTGGATCATAACGACATTTCCACCGCCAACTCAACAATTGCAAAAGTTGAAGGATTAAATTCTGTATCTACTCCCCATGGATCTTACCCCCTGCTTAACTTGAACCCGATGATCCATTCTAGCGATGGTATTGTCGGTCCAGTTAATTCGTCGGCACAAAGCCAGCATTCTGTGAATTCCATGGATACTTCGAATCTCTCACCTGCATTATGTTCAGGATCCGTTATGTCCTCCGTGAGCCCTGTTAATACACCTACTCCTACCACAGTGCATTGCATGGGGAAAGTACTTACTCCTCATCAGCCTAGTTTAGTTCGTGGATCACTCCCGTCACACCATGTGCTTCAACCTGTGTTACTTTCCTCCATTCAAACCAACGGTGAAAATCATGGCACAGCCATGGGTAAGTTCTACATCATTACATGCTGAATTGAATTGCCCCCACTAGTCTGGTTTCCTTTCGTAACCAAATTACTAGGAGCTCAGTTACCGTCCGTAATTTGAGTTCTCTTAGCGGTTGGGTTGCGCATACAACTGTGATCTGCACAACCGGCACTATACAATATATACGCGCAGTATGCGTTCGGTGCTTTTTCTTGGTTGGTGGTCTGATTTCGTGTGATTCATTCGACTCATTATCATCATTTTACGATTTAAATAATACGCTTATAACCCGCAATTCTTTGAGCAGCTTAGATTGCTTTATTTTTTTTTATCTACCTGCTGCACGTGTATACTTCATTCAAACACTTATACAGATGCGCAGACATGGCTGTACTCGTTGCTGATGTTAACATTGCACCTAATCCGGCAAACCAGTTTAACCTAACTTTACTTCACTAAATCGTTTCTCCACATAATAGATTTTGTGGAGACCCCCACCATATCACGTTACCTTTGCAGACGGACACTTCTGCAATATATTTAGCTACGCTACTACCCGCATGATCATCCTAACAAGGAGGAATATGGTTACCGATGGTATCTTTTAGCACAGGACGACACGAATAAACCGATTAACGGGTACCTCACTTGTCCTATCAAGCTTAGGTGCATTTGCGCCAAAAGAGAATGTTTGTTTACTCTGGTCAGTTGGAGCGGTAACGTCTGCCAACACTGTTTATCTTACCCACGCCATCCCGGCGGCGGGTACCACTTACTCCTGCTTCAGTTGACTCGTAGCATGCGGACGATATTGCCTTAATCTGTGACAGCTCCCAAACGTGCCCAGCAGCACAGAACCGATTAGCAATGCCTCAATCGTTTTTGTCTACGCTTTGCTCCATTGGAGCGCAAAGTCCTCCAAGCTTGGCAGCGACCCACTCCTGCGATGATTTTGTGGAAACCAGCTTGAAGTCGTTCAGGAATTCAAGTACCTTGACAGCTGTATTAGCGCCCGTTGGATCGAAAATAAGGTTACGAACCGTATTGCAAAACTCGGGGTGCTTTTGCCAATCTCCGCCACCTGTGGCGCTGACGCGACACCACACCCTGAAGGGCAGCCGTTCGTACAACCCTCCTATACGACTACGAAATCTTACCCACCAGGTCGACAGACATTAAGAGGCAAGTCGCGTTCGATCATCACTGCCTTCGCAGCTTAGCTGATGTCTGTTGGGAGCACTGCGTGAGCAATGAGCATGTTTGGCTTCGCTTATTTAGATGCAGGAAGTGCAAATGAACCGCTTTGCACCATTGTATCACGCACTGAGCTCCGGTAGCTGGGCCACTTGTTGCGCATATCAGCAGACCGACTACCCCGACCTGTATTGTTTGTGCGCCGCGCTTGCGGTTGGAAGGAAAGGGGAGGCCAAGCGATGAGTTGGCCGAAAGAAATGAAAACCCTCACTTTGAAACTGGCGTCGGTTGGTAAATCGCGACTGCCTGGCTCTTGTCCTAAGGATGATGTGCACGTTTGGTTGGACACACTTCTGCTATAGAGAAGATCCGGCCACAATGGCGTTTGCGTTGACTTACTTTGTCCATCTCTTTAAATTCCCTCTCCGATTCCGATTTCATAAAAATGCATAATATAATATTTAGCATGTTATGCTTTTGATTTTTTCTGGCGTATTTTTTCCTATCTTGTATTGCGACACAGCTGAGGTATTTTTCACCCTCAGCTAACCTGTATTGATGACGATGGCTCCAGCTTCAAGCCACATGGTAAAAAAACGTCGTGGACTACATACGCACATAAGTTGGGGATGACTTACGTGGCGTTCGCGAACTCATGCGATCACACAGACTCGACTGCATGCTCATTGATGTAGAATCTCACTTTCTTTGAGTATTCGCTTGCTTAGTGACATCGCATCTAGCTACACTTGACTGATGCATGGCAATTGTTGTCATCTGAGCAGAAAGAAGCATTGAATCACATGATTGATCAAACGACTTTCCGTTCGCCGTTTGACACTTACACTACTCGATGCGTGATGTACGCATGTATCCCTATGCACGGCTATCATTTCTGTGCTTACTTCCAGACTGCATGTATCGCCAACAACTCCATCCCATAGATACATTTGTTGCCTGCATTTTACTGTTGTCTTCATGCCATACGGCCGTGATGGCCTTAGTACAGAGAAATAGTGAGAGAAAAGGGATCTAGTGCAATGCATAAATTCCCTGAGTGTCGAGACTTTTTCACCTTTTTAACAGCACGCGGTCACAAATAGCTGTCCACCATACGAAGGTAAAACACCATTTGCAGGTCATTTTCCTCACGGCCTTTGCTATCACACATCATTATCATCCCTACCACACAGACAGCTGCTTCAGAAGCGCATTAAAAGGAATCATATATATATATATATATATATATATATATATATATATATATATATATATATATATATATATATATATATATATTCAGCGCTTGCCAACTAATGACACAACTACCACGGTTAGTCGGGCTAGGTGGCGACTGTAAACGCACCACTAGTGCTGGTTACCAACTGTATCCATGCAAAGTATACCACACGCAAGGCGGTCACGTGATCTCAACTATGGATGGCGAGATAAATTAGCAGCAGTGAACTTTCTACCCCTAACCATACACTATCTTATATCCTGTTGACAAACGACGCTCTCCTGATTGAGTGATGAGCGAACACATTTAGCACGTGTCCAAGCTAACACAGTTGTTATTTGTGCCACTCAGTACTCGACTGCGCATTTTATGTTAATGGACGCGCCCTCTTAAACTGTCCCCAACAACGAGACTGGGCCTTAACATGGTGCGATATTTCGCATACTTCCGTGACCCATTGAGCTGCGTTAAGTTACACTTTCCAAGTGTCTTAAGAACAACTCATACCAGACAAAAAGTGTTCCGACTAACTCAGTCTGGCAATCCTCTTCGGGAGTTAGGGAGGAAGTCGATGGCCTACTTCCCTTGAAACCCAGACATGGGAAACAGCAGATTTACAGATCATGAGCTCACATCTTGATTGTCCGGGAGCACAAGCGCCGCACATTGTCTCTGTCGTTGAGACACCGCCCGGTACTCAGGTTGGGGGTTGGAATGAGGGTGGCTCCTTATTCCTTAAAACGGACTCCTTGTAGCCCAACGCCAAACCCGCTGCCTTGCGGTCAGGTTTTTGAACCAAAGGCTTTGGTTGAGAACCCTAATCGTTCTCCTGTCTAGGTCTGGGCAACCTGACAATATCCTGCCCACGCAATACAATGAATCTTTCCCCAAACAAATTGCTGATGCTCTGGCCACCGCAGAGGATAATCAACGGTGCCCTATCTGCTGCATCGAGCAGGGTGGATAGGGGTTTGGATGCTACTGCTCAAGCCTTCCCATCTTCTTATTCCCCTTCTTGCGCTTTTTCACCCTTATCGTCCCGTTCCAGCTTCACTTCTATCCCCCTGTTTTCAACCCCCCAATTCTCGGCCCTCCCCCACCTTGCTTCAATAGTCGCTTGTCTTTTAGTTTCAACTCACAGGTGAACGCAGAGCGTCATTCCTGCACTGTCAACAGGCCCATGCCCAAGCAAACGGCCCATTCCAGTTCATCGGCTTCCATTTGGAGCCCTCGATCCTCCTTCAGACTGGCTTGCCTCAATATTCGCACATTGCTTCAGATCGGTCAACAGGCAGCACTTTCCCGAACATTAGAGACCCTCTCGATCGATATCTGCTGCTTATCGGAGACCTGCCTGCAAGACTCGAGCTCTGTATTCACTCTGCGATCCCCTTCAGGTGACACTAGCAGCACTTTCTCATTGCGCCTATCCAGTGACGATGCAGCTTCGAGCACCGGCCAAGCCGGTGTTGGTATTGCCCTGAGTCCCCGGGCTGAAGCTGCTCTGGTTGATTGGATTCCAATCAGTAGCCGGATGTGTGCGGTCCGATTGGCTGGCTCGTTCAAAGCTTCGAAGTCGCGTGGGACTAACAGGTGTCTATTCGTTGTCGCTGCCTATGCACCGACAAACTGTAGCGATGACTCGGTAAAAGACGACTTCTATCGCCAACTGAACGAACTGCTTCGCCACAGAAGAAGCGCGGACACTGTAGTGCTGGCTGGGGATCTGAACGCTCAAGTTGGAAAATTATCCACAGATGAGCTGCATCTGGGCGGCCAACATGGTATAGGCTTCCGTAATGATAACGGTGAGCGTTTATTTCATTTGTGTGAGGATGCTCGCTTATTTCTTGTGGGCACTAATTTCCGACACAGCACCCGCCGGAGGGTGACTTGGCACCCACCAGCCTCGAACCAGCTATGGACGCAAATCGATCACATTGCTAACAGTTACCGCTGGAGAGGCTGCGTCCAGAACTGTCGCTCGATTTGGAGCACAGGTGTTGACACCGATCATGCACTTGTATGTGCTGACCTGCGGATGCGTTTTGGCGGACGCCCGCGACGATGTTTTGAGCGCATTGACACCGGCAGACTGGTGAATCTAGCTGTTCTGAACGCCTATCAAATTACGCTGTCATCCGAGTTGGATAAACGCTCAATGGATGCAGTTGAAGCTCACTGGTCTCATATGCAACAGGCCTTACTAGCAGCAGGCAAATCCTCATGTGGTATGTCTAATCGCCAACATGAACATTGGGTCTCTTCACAGTCTCTGGAACTTATAGATGCTCGCCGGCATATTCGGCTGGAAGCGAACACAATGAAACTCGCAAAGAGCTCCGGGCAAAACTCCGTGCTAGCCTGAAGAGAGACCGCGAATCCTGGTGGTCTCATCGTGCAACAGAGATGGAAATGGCCGCTGCCCTTGGTAACCATCGTGAGTTATTCCGTCTGATACGGGAAACGGGCAGCAAGAGACCTGGTGTTAGTGAAACTATGCGTGACGAGAGTGGACAGCCTATCCACAACTTATCAAAACGCCTGGAACGTTGGGCTGAGCACTTTGAAAGGCAATTTAATCG